TTAAAAAAAAGCTATTGAATTGTATGCTTTAAATGGATCATATGGCATATGAATTATATCTTAATAAAGGTGTTTTTAAAAACATACACAGAACCCAGGAGTGAATGGCTGAGGCAGACAGGTACCAACTGGTGAAGACCCCAAGCCCCACGGCTGGCTGGCTGGCTGGCTGGCTGAGCTGGCGCAGTCATTCCCAGAGCTGCCTCTCCCTGTCCTCCATCAAGGTCTGCCTGCTCTGGGTCCACTGCTCTGGCTCAGCTGGTAGACTGTACAAAGGTTCTGTAGCAACTCAGCTAGCCAAAGAACCAGTTTCCAAACATCTCCCTTCAGGGGCAAACTGTCCACCATCCATAAGATCTTCAAGCTTTGCAAATGAAGAAAAACACCAGTGGCGAATTTAAAGAAATTTTAGCAGTATTATAAAGGATGGCAACCACAAGACAAAGTAGAGAAGAGCTAACTAGGAGGGTTGTTAAAGAAATTCCAACGGACACATGATACCCATGAGAGAATAATCCACCTGAGAGGAAAATGTAGTGAATCTGAAGATAGTACTAATTCTGTATCTGAAAAAGCATCTCCTCTGGAATAAAAGGCAGAAGAGAAGACAAGACTGTTCTGAAACAATGCTGATTCCTGCTCCAGCTCCTCTAGAGCCCAAATCTAAGGCTCCAGATCACCCGTGCCTCCCAAACGGGCCAAGACTGGGGCCAGCCACAGGGTGGCGAAGTGTCTCCTATTACCACGAAGATACCAAGACTCTTGATAGGCAGGTCCCTATCCAGCCTGTTTTGCAAGCCAACAAGCCAAAACATGACCTTCAAAGTCACCAACTCCAAAGCATCAGCTTCACTATCTACTCCATCCACATCAGCTTGTCTCACAGCTTCAAAGGCAGTAGTTTCTAGTAAAACGGTAATAGTGGGAAACACAAGAGGCAAGAAAAAAACTAGCAAGTGGCTAACACCTCAGCCACTGTCAGATGCAACCACTTCTGGTATGGTCAGCCTTAGAGGAAATCCTTCTGAGACCAGAGTGCAGAGTCTCAGACCCAAGTAGTCTGTCCCTGTCACCCAGGAGCAGACCACAGGCAAATGCCACAAGTCTGTTCCCCCCCACACACACCTTGTCCTCCTCTTGAGAATCAATACATCACTTCCTCAGACACTCCCATTGTCCTGTTTAGCAGTGAAGCTACTTGCCCGTTCCTCCTTAGACCCAAGTTAGTGTCTGTACTGAAGAGACAACACAACCATTCTCCATCAGGCACTGATGTGTTAGCACCAATAAGAGAGGGAAGACAGCACGTCAGCCAATGAGATCTAAGCCGACGGGACAATCTTCAGAATCTCTGTGCCCCATAGGACAAAGGACAAAAGGTACCATTAGGTCCATGACTCTGACTGTGATGGGCCTCTTTTGGCCACCACCAACCATGAGGAAGAGGAGGAGGAGGACAGCGGTGGCGAATGTGCTTTGGCACGTAACACAGGCAAAGGGACGCTCTCACAATAAAACTTAGCAGTAGACCATCTAAGAAAGAACGAGAAGACATAACATCTTGCAGTGGTGACATGTGAAGAAGAGAGGCAGGGAATCCAGGAACAAATTGGAAATTAGAAGACTTAGCCAGAGGCCCACAGCTGAAGAATTCGAGCAAAGAGCTATCCTAAAACAAAGGCATGAAGAAGTAGACCAGAAAATACAAATGGAACTACAAGGCAGAGTCCGCAGAAAGCTTGGGCAGAGACCCACAGGGGCAGAGCTGGGAGCATGAAGCGTTTTGGAATTAGGAATACGTAGAGGTCACTGACTCCCCTGACTATGATCATCAGGCACGTAAGTCCTGGGCCAGGTTGAGACCTATAGACAAGGTAGAAGTGCAGAATTAAATGAACTTAAAGGCCCAGAAAGGTTTCATCATCCATCATGAAATGTGAGACTGTTTGGAAATAGCCACTGGTAATCTTTGGGGGTAGCGCCACTTGCTAAAAATGTGATAATGTGCTGGAATGCAAAAGCTTATCTTGCAGTGAAGAAGAGAGGGCTCTGCTTTTTTTTTTGGAAAGTGCTCCTCACCTGTATAACCCAAATGAGGCCACCAAAGGGAAGGATGTAGTGACACTTGCTGTCTAGCATGTGTTATCCATGTCAGTTATGCTTCACGAGGAGCTTTACCAAAGAAGATGAGCAGAACACAATCACTGGCTCCCAGTTATCCAAAGTCAAATCGTACAGTGCAGGCTTAAAGAAAAATGAGGAGTTCGATTGCTAGGCACTAGAAAGGGGTGGGAATCAAACAAAATCAGAACAAAAGAGAAGTATTTCATCATGTGAATGAAGAAAAGAGAAAACTGGAGTAGGCATTTGGCATCTGGGAAGTTATTATGGATTTGGGAATCTCACCACCCAACAAGTTTTCTTAAAGACCTGATCCTAGGAAAGGAGACCGTCTGGTTTCAGCCCTGAGTTGGTTCAGTTCATACAGCATGGGTACAGTACAGCAATTTTGGTTATGCCAGTGAGCCCAGTTTCCAGAAAGACGTCTGAGTGTTTTTATGCATGTTGTTCTTTTTTTTTTTTTAAAGATTTTATTTATTTATTTGAGAGAGAGAGAATGAGAGAGAGCACGAGAGGGAAGAGGGCAGAGGGAGAAGCAGACCCCCTGCTGAGCAGGGAGCCCAACGGGGGACTCGATCCCAGGACTCCAGGATCATGACCTGAGCCGAAGGCAGTCGCTTAACCAACTGAGCCACCCAGGCGCCCTATACATGTTGTTCTTAAATGCAAGAGACTTCTAACAAGAGACTCTAACAAGAGTGCTTATCCCAATTTTGTAGCAAGCTTTAAATAGCACAGCTAAACACACTTTACATAGTTTGAAACTCCTCATCCAGGATACCAACTTTACAGGAGAATTACAGGATCAGAAATCAAGTCAGGTGCAAGGTGACCTTACAAAATGGGAGTCAGCTTTAGAAATAAACCTTCTGGTCTTTCCCTATTTCAATTATCTCCAAAGTAGGAATAAAAATACTTGATCTAAGGAAGATGATACTGACCATCACGACACCTTTAAAAATCTCAAATGCAAAGTTAAAACACAAGCAAAATAACCTGCAGTTATTTCTGAATGGGAATTAAAAGTACTACCTTTTTTGGGGTGCTGCATTAAGTTGAACTGCTGCTATTAAAAAAATTAAGGTACATAAATAAAAAAACTTTTACCAAATGGCTCATAGGAGCATAGAATTTTTCTGCTAATTTGTATGTGAGGAAGACCTCATCTCTTATTTTAAGAGTCTGAAAATTGCATCCATACATAAAGTATTGATTATCAAAGTGAAATAATCCATGAAATTAAAGTCATGGAAGGTTTCCCAATGAACCTAAAGCCAATATTGTTTTTTTATTTATATATATATATATATATATATATTACCTTGCATTCAGTTGTTCTTTCAAGCTTGTTTTATGCCCCTTTTATTAAAATCACATGAAATGTAATATAAGATAAAATCTAAATAGAGCTATTTATCCTCAGAGCTTGGTCTAAAACTTTCTGCAATGTTTCTGATTCATAATACTGAAGATTATAATGTTAGATTTCAGCCTAGAAGCAAACATTCAATCTGGTGAATAAATTTAGATCCTGCCGTTCACTTTGAAGAATGACTTGAAACTGATTTTTGTTTCAAATATGCTGAGCATTAGTTGGCCTATTTATTTTGTAAAAGGCCAGGATACTTTACAACCAACCAAAGTAACTAGCTAGCATCACCGCACTTTTTGCTGCACTGTTACGTGCTTCAGAACAATAAACCTAGATCTGGGAGGGGGGTGAGGCCCAGCTGTGAACTGTAGTTCTACAATTTGGGTTTTTAAAAAATCAAATATTCCTTTAAAATATCTCTCTTCATTACTGAGTTGTTTTAATGCCCCTTTAATTTTGCACCCAAGGTGAGGGCCTCAGTCAGCTTGCCTTAGTGACCAGCCCTGTATTTGAAAACTGCCATGCATCACGCATCCATGCCCACAGCTTTATGGACGACCACTAGTACTAATTAGGACAACAGCATCAGAAATTTAGATGCCATTAGTTACCAGGGCATCACTCCAACTCACCTGGGGTCACAGTCAATGAGGGCCCAGCCCCCGTGGAACTTCTCATCATCAGGCAGCAGTAACTTCATATAACTTTGTAACAGCTGGTTAATCAGTTCCTGGTGGCCTCTCTGATTCTCCTTATGCAAAGCTTCATGTTCTTTCTCCTTGGTAAATATGGAATAAAGATCTTCTGTCACTGGAATGCCTTGCATCAAATCTAGAGTAGAAAGTGTTAATATCTATCATCATCTTAATTTGCTAATACATTTTTAAAAAACAAAAGAGAATGTAAGATCTAAAACAACAGAACTCATAAGAAAACACAGGCATGAATCTTGGTGATCATGGATTAGGCTTTTTTGTTTTAGATAGGACACTAAAATCACAAGCAACAAAAATGAAAAATCGACAAAGTGGCCATCACCACAATTAAGAACTTTGTGTCTCAAAGGGCAAGATCATGAATGTGGAAAGACAATCCACAGAATGGGTGAGAGTATTTACAAATCATCTGATATTCTGTATTCAGAATATATAAAGAACTCCTACAACTCAGTAACAAAAAGACAAGCCGATTTTCAAATGGGCATAGAGGGATGCCTGGGTGGCTCAGTCAGTTAAGCATCTGCCTTCAGCTCGGGTCATGATATCAGGATCTTGGGATCGAGTCCCACATAAGGCTCCTTGCTCAGTGGGGAACCTGCTGCTTCTCCCTCTGCCCCTCCCCCCCGCTTGTACTCTCTCTCTCTGGAAAATAAATATTTAAAAATAAAATAAAATGGGCATAGGATCTGAACAGACAAGCTAACTTCTTCATGGTGTGGCCTGTAGCTCAAGCTTCAGGAAGCACTGTAATCCATTCCCCACAGACGGGCAGGACAGCAAGACTGTCAGCTTCTGGGACAGAGGTGCCGACCACTGGCCTTACAAGGGGAAGCAGTAAGCCCAGACTGCTACTGGCCTCTCTCTCTCTCACCTTTGAAGAAATCCAGCTTCAAGATTCAGGTGAAGCTGATGCTATGGATGGTCAGAGTGAGAGAGGGACAGAGCCTGGATCTGCAGTGACATAACTGAGCTGCTAGATCCATCAAGGGAGGAAAGGTATCTTATTTTTCCTTGATTAAACTGCTGAAATCCAGTTTTCCAGTCAATACACACCCTACCTGTGGCAAAAACCAAACTTCTTTACACCAGACATCTCAAATTCCTAACTGGCCTGTGTCGAGGCCCTACTATTTCATGTATGACAAATAATCAGATTAAAAATAGGATTTAAAAAATATTCTCAGAGACCACAGGACAAGCTGTTACTTTGGTTCTAATCCAGTATGCTCTGCATTTACTTTAATCCTATGAGGTAATACTTTCACGCAAATTAAATTTACAAAATATGCCAACGTATGAATTCCACTAGGCAAGCAACCCTCCATTTCCTCTTCCAAATAATGATAAGAACTGGTTAGGATAATCCCTAAATCTGATACCCTGATATTATGTTCATTCTTTTTTTAAAGATTTTATTTATTTATTTGAGACAGAGAGAATGAGAGAGAGAGAGAGAGAGCACATGAGAGGGGGGAGGGTCAGAGGGAGAAGCAGACTCCCTGCCGAGCAGAGAGCCCGATGCGGGACTCGATCCAGGGACTCCAGGATCATGACCTCAGCCGAAGGCAGTCACTTAACCAACTGAGCCACCCAGGCGCCCTGTTCATTCATTCTTATCGGAAAGGATGGCGTGTTGCCTACAGCAAGAACATACGATAAATGTCATATGGGGGAAAGAAAGACATCTCATTACATCTCTCAGCCTTGAGTAATGGAAAAAACAAATAGAATGTGGGGTTTTCAGTTGATGAGGTTTTAGGCTACCTCATTCCATACTCCAGGAACCTCAACTCTGCCTTCTGTGGCAAGAACAGCAAACTGACAAATACGTATGGGAATGAGCTGTTGCTCTTTTTGCTTCACCCTAAAAAATTCGTCAAATTCGAGTCTTGTAAAAATGTGAATTTGATTTCTTGGGTAAGATGCTGAATATAGAAACACAAGTATATTATAAAACATGAACTATGTCAATGAAGTTGGTTTCTGTAAAAACACTCGTCACAGAGGAATAACAAATTTTAAAGAAAGAAAGGCATTTAGGTTCCTTACCTATAACAGCTTGCCTATAAGCATCCTTAAATCGATTCAGGTAATACCTATTTGCCGAGTTAACACCATCTTTCATAACTCCTGCTAACTTCCTTTCTCCTGTCCTTGTAAAGTCACCCTGTCAAGGAAAAAGTCATTTTGACAATTGATTCAAACACAAGAATGTTCCCAAAGTCAATGTGGGCTTTCAATACAAGACCAAAATTCTATAGGCTTTTATAATTTCTAAATAATGTAGTTAAGTTAAAATATCTACTAGTATTTGGCTGTGACCCAAGCACATCAAATCATTAGAACGCTATCTGTGGCATCAAGTCTTCACAGTTGGATGGTGCTTCAAAGTAAATCCACTCCTGGTAATCTGCAGAATTTCTATAATTTACAGGTCAAAATTTCCTATATAACAAATAACAAGAAGATTTTCAAGCCTCAAGCTGGTATGATACTCAAAAATCACAAATTTCTGATGAGGGAAAGTGTGGACAGTTCCCTAGAGTTTATTACAATGGGATTTAACCAGTGTACGTGGATGTGTGTGTACAGAGAAAGAACAGAGATTTCTGTACCTTGCTGCCCATTACAATCACTGTAGAATGATCCAATGAAGAGTTAAATTGTTTTGTTTTGTTTCTCTTGCTTTTCACAACAGAGGTGTCAGAGCAAGTCCCTAGAGGGCACTGACTTAGCTGGAGGTTTGTGCCCTTTGATCACCTCTCCATTTCCCCCATCCCCTGGTAAGCACCAACCTCTTTGCTTCTGAGTTTGATTTTTTTAGATTCTACATATAAGTGAGATCATGCAGCACTTTTTTGAAGAATGTGAGAAGGAATGGCATTAATTCTTCTTTAAATATTTGGTAGAATTCTGGGGCGCCTGGGTGGCTCAGTTGGTTGAGCGACTGCCTTCGGCTCAGGTCATGATCCTGGAGTCCCTGGATCGAGTCCCGCATCGGGCTCCCTGCTCAGCGGGGAGTCTGCTTCTCCCTCTGATCCTCTTCCCTCTCATGCTCTCTGTCTCTCATTCTCTCTCTCAAATAAATAAATAAAATCTTTAAAAAAAAAAAAATTTGGTAGAATTCACCAGTGAAACCATTTGGTCCTGGGCTTTTCTTTCTTGGGAGGTTTTGCTTATACTGATTCATCAAATCTCCTTACTCATTGGTCTGCTCAGATTTTCTATTTCTTTGTAAGTCAGTCTTGGTAGGTTGTATGTTTCTAGAAATGTATCTCTTTCTTCTAAATTGTCCAATTTGTTGGCATATGATTGTTCAGAGTAGCCACCTGTGATTCTATGTATTTCTATGATATCAGTTGTAATGTCACTTTCATTTGTAATTTTGAGTCCTTTTTCTTCTTGATTAGTCTAGCTAAAGGTCTGTGGATTTTGTTTATCTCTTCAGAAAACCAACTCTTGATCTTTTCTATTGTTTTTCCTACTCTCTCTTTCAAATATTTCTGTTCTAATCTTTATTATTTCCTTCCTTCTGCTAACTTTGGGCTTACTTTCTTCTTTTTCTAGTTCCTTGAGATGTAAACTTAGGCTGTTTGAGATCTTTTTTTTTTTAAAGATTTATTTATTTATTTGACAGAGAGAGACAGAGACACAGCAAGAGAGAGAACACAAGCAGGGGGAGTGGGAGAGGGAGAAGCAGGCTTCCCCTGGAGTAGGGAGCCTGATGCGGGGCTCGATCCCAGGACCCTGGGACCATGACCTGAGCCGAAGGCAGAAGCTTAACCACTGAGCCACCCAGGCGCCCCTCTTTTTTCTTTATGTAGGCATTTATAGCTATAAACTTTCCCTTTAGAACTGCTTTTGCCACATCCCATAAGTTTTGGTATGTTGTGTTTCCATTTTCATTTGTTTCAAGCTTTTTTTTCCATTTTTTTTTATTTAACCCTTTTTGATTTCTTCTTTGACCCATTGATTGTTCAGGAGTATGTTAATTTCCACATATTTATAAATTTTCTAATTGTCCTGTTATCAATTTCTATATTCATACCACTGTGGTCAGAAAAGATACCTGATACAATTTCTATCTTTTTGAACCTTGTTGAGACTTGTTTTGTGGCCTAACCTATGATCTGTCCTGGAAAATGTTCCACGTGTGCTTCTGAAGATGTGTATTCATTCTGCTGTTCCTAGATGAAATGTCCTATATATGTCTGCTGGGTCCAGTTGGTCTATAGTCCTGTTCAAATTCACTATTTCCTTACTGATTTTCTGCCTGGATGATCCATTGTGGAGAACAGGTTATTAAAGTCCCCTACTGGGGCGCCTGGGTGGCTCAGTTAAGCATCTGCCTTCAGCTCAGGTCATTATCTCAGGGTCCTGGGATCGAGTCCTGAAACAGGCTCCCCCCTCAGCAGGGAGTCTGCTTCTCCCTCTCTCAGCTCATGCTCTGTCTCTCTCAAATAAATAAATAAAATCTTAAAAAAAAAAAAAAAGTCCCCTACTATTATCGTACTGCTATTTATTCCTCCTTTTAATTCTGTTAGTAGTTGCTTTATATATTTAGGTGTTCTGATGTTGGGTGCATAAAAGTATTTCTCTTTAACCAGTAACTTGTACAAGGACTTCTAAAGTCCAATTTCCTTAATTAATAAAAAGCTTTTTGATATTTATCACTCAACCAAAAGATGAACTATTTGATGCCAGTTGAGACCTTGATACAATTTTTTATAAGAAATATCCTGAAATGAACTATTAACCTTGAAGGAATATTAACATAAAACTAATTTAAACTAATTCCACCATTTCTTACTGCCCACAGAAGGAGTATTTGGTGACCAGTAACTACAGGTTATATTTAAATTCTGTGAAGATCCAAGCTCTGTAGGATCTTCAAAAGACTTATTCATAACAACCACAAAAAGATAATAAAACATTTCTTCAGCATTTACTGTGTGCCTGGGAATGGTCTAAGCCCCCACATGCATTAACTCATATAATCTCATGACAGTCTTGAAGTGTGTCTAGTATTATCCTGTTTTACAAATGAAGACACAGACACAGAGAGGTTAAGTGACTTGCTCAAGGTTGCAGAGCTGGTAAGGGGCAGGGTTGGGATTCAAATTCAGCGGAGGCAAATTATCATACTAGGGACCGAATTCTAGCAACAGACATGTTTTATCTGTGTAACATTTTAAAAACCAACTATTCCACATGAAATTCCAGATTTCTAAACCCCCTTGAAAAGCTGGAAGATCTAGCCACACTGGGCCTCCGTCCCCATACGGAAGCAGTAGAAGAGCCCCCTCCTGAGATAAGATACGCTCTTTCTTAGGTCTGCCCCCATCTTCCCCTTTAAGCTAATGGGTGGTCACATTACCTGGCCCCAGGAGAATCTGAATATGTGACCGCTGCCTGAGCCGAACGTTCCAGAAAGGAGTCAAATACATAGACTACCATCTGTAGCCCCCATATCTTTCTCTCAAAAATGAAGTTGGTTTAAAACTGCATCCTGTGTCCCACAGAATGATCCACAAAAGCTGGCTGTCGGTACTTGCCTTCAAAGCAGCTGTCCCAGCATACTGTCTGCTAATGGAGTCCCCGTTGTTGGCCCACATTATCTGATAGATCCGATTGCACTTCACTGGTAGGGGCTGTTCCGGGGGCATCACACCTAATTTTTTCAGCTAAAATTAACACACTGGTGGATTAGCTACATATTAGGCAGGAAACCATAGCATCAAATATACACTGCAGAAAACGGAAGCATGTTCATGTACAATTTCGGACCCTTAAATAAAAGAAATGGTGTTTCTGGACTTCTCCAAAATAAAGCACAATTGAGAGAGAGTTTTATCAGTTGCTACACATGATTAAGTAGAATGAAATATTTATACTGTCTTGGTGTAATTTTTAATGTGTAGGCTATTATATTTTGTCTTTGTTTTAAATTTGCCTATGAAATGAGACTATCAAAAAAGCCTCCTGAAACAACAACATTAGCAGGAGAAGAGCAGTAAGCATCCGTAAGTGTGAACTCTGTGCCGAGGCTAGGGTTCTAAGAGCTTTTCTTATACAAATTATCTCATTTACTCCTCGTAACAACCCGCTGCAATCAATACTCTTATTATGTCCATTTTAAGGATGCAGAGACAGAAGTTTAGGAAGTGGAGCTTTTGCATGGGGTCAACCCCTAATATGTGGTAGAGCCAGGGCTGAGCCTCAAAACCTGGCTGCTTGATTGCAACACACGAAGGAAGAGACTCACCATCTCAAAAAAACAGTCCCCAGGTTCTATCAAAAAAGCCCAGACACGGTGCTAAGAAGGTCCACCTTGAGAATTCATTACTCAGGTGTTGTGGGGTTGAAGATCTAAAGGGGGACACTGAGTAACAGATGTTAGGACTGGAGGAAGCAGCCGCCACCAACTGGGGTGTGCAGCATAAAGGCTGGTTCTGTGGTGCCCAAGGAGCCAACAGCTGCAGAGAAGGCGCCAAGACGGCTCCAGCACAGGTGAGGACGCGTGTCCCTTCCTCCTCCTCCGGCCTCATGGTCTTCCTTTGGCACCTCCTACTGGCAGAGCCTGGCACAGCGCCAGCCGGCTGAGCAGAAGGCGCGGCAGACTCCCAGCCCCAAATACACAAGGCAGGATTTGGAGCTGAGAGAAAGAAGGCGTATGGCCACACACTGCCTCCTGATCGACGTTGAAATGTTGGGCCTCACGTTTTTGAAATGAGTACTTAAGAAAATGCCACTTAGGGCGCCTGGGTGGCTCAGTCGTTAAGCGTCTGCCTTCGGCTCAGGTCATGATCCTGGAGTCCCTGGATCGAGTCCCGCATCAGGCTCCCCGCTCCTTGGGAGCCTGCTTCTCCCTCTGCCTCTCTCTCTCTCTCATGAATAAATAAATAAAATCTTTAAAAAAAAAAAAAAAAAAAGGGCGCCTGGGTGGCTCAGTTGGTTAAGCGACTGCCTTCGGCTCAGGTCATGATCCTGGAGTCCCTGGATCGAGTCCCGCATCAGGCTCCCCGCTCAGTGAGGAGCCTGCTTCTCCCTCTAACCCTCCCCCCTCTCATGTGCTCTCTGTCTCTCTCATTCTGTCTCAGATAAATAAATAAAATCTAAAAAAAAAAAAGAAAATGCCACTTAATTTAACTTATTTCTAGTGAAGGTTGTACTTTCCGGGTTTTAATGCAACAAGGACATCTGTCTGTATGCTGTAAATGTTCTACAGAACAACGATCTTACTTGTTTACATGTGGAAAAAAACTAAAAATGAATACTTACAATGCAGTGAACCCCCCAATTACCTGCTGTTCCATGACCACTCGGGCGATGGCGGCCTGGACCACATTGGTGCGATCCAGGCAGTCCATGCAATTGACACGAAATATCCCTTCTTGTTTACATATCACCCCGGCTTGATCGACCCTTTTCAAAAAGAGACTGGCATTATTTTACAATATGAAATACTTTAATAAGGTTTTCAAAAACCACAATTCTTCAGAGGATAGCACTAACACCAGTAGCACTGGTTATCCCTCTGTCTGGAACACTACGTGACAGGCACTAATGGGTACTTTGTAGACACTGTGAATTTACACAGTAACTTGATAAGAAAGACGTCATTGTCCCCATTTTGAAGAAACACAAAACAAAACTTGCCTCAAGTCTCACGACTACTGAGTAGAGCTGACACAACCCCAGATTATGCTCTTCTACACACTGAAGCCAGAAGGCACTTTAAAACACCATCCTGTCCCTCCCTTTTGACTGCAAGGAGAAACGCATCTAAATGCATCTAGCTTGAACAAAGTCACTTCACCACTCAGTGAGGAGTCCTGCAGCACACCTTGCGTGTCTAATTTCTCTTGCCACCTCTGGTCTTAAAGTCTAATTCAATGTTCTCTCCTATTCTTTAAGTCAATTTCTTCTTCCTATATCTCCCTCCTGCCGTCTGAGAATCATCTTCCTTCTCTGATAATTCTCCGATAATTCTGAAATGCCTGCAAACTGAGACCAAGTACCCTGAAGCCATGTTAGGGATGCTGGGAGAGAAGAAGGAAAGAGGAAATGTAAACCATGGAACATTAAATGGAATTAAAGAAGAGTCATAGAGCATGTCACTCCATCTTGCCTGACCACCTAACACTTTTTCCCTGTTCAAAGCTAACGCTGCCTGATGACGGACACTCTCTTGAAAAGGAGAACAGGAATTGGGAAGCAAAACAAGAAAAACAAAAATGGTTTTTCAGCTGGCTATTATTTTAATACTTAGTAGTACCAAATACATATGATTTCACAGACCAAGAGTTTATATCAAATTGACTTCTTATGTAATACCTACCAACACCACTTCATGTCAAGAATAATGTCATAAATGGCATCTGTTAGAGTTTGAACATTCTCAAACTTCATTCCTCGGCTAAAATACATGCCAAAAGAAAAAAAAATCTTTAATAACAGGTTTTTTTTAGCTTAAGATACACTATTTAAAGTAGCTTGGAAAAATTAAAGAAAATTATTGCTTTAAGTACATGAGGTTAACACTACTAGAAATTATTTAGGCAACTACATAAATGCTTATAATTAATCTGCATTATGAAAGAAAATATATTTAAGAACACATTGAAACATATCACAGGTATCAGAAGCTTTTCCCCACCAAATTTTCAATACATGAGTAGATGAACCCACATTAGAGCCAGGATTATGACAAAAGAACCTGGCTTTCAGAGTACACACAGGTTAAAGTTACCATCAAAATGATTCACCGATTATTGTTTTTCCAGAGCAAACTCTAGTGAAGTTGATCCATAGGGAAAGAAATACTACTAATACAGCACAAAGATGAGACAACAGAATGATGTTTAAGTAAGGGGACTCCATTACGTTTGCCAGGCTGGGACCCAAGCAGAAACGAAAAGCTCCAGGAGTTCTCTGAGTGATAAAAGGAAAAATGGAACTCTCCATCTCCATGTTGTTTTGGGAAAGAAAGACTGAATATTTCAGAAATAACTAAATTTTTAGCCAAAATAAAGCTCGTCTGAAAATCAAAACTAAGTAACCAGGAGAAGCAGAAATGTTTCTTCCTGATAGGAAGACAAGAAGTTAAGGTTGCAGGGCAGCATGTACCACAAACAACGGAACGGATCAGAACTCCCGTCAGGAAGCCCTCTTACCAGTGCTCATGGAAGTCAAATGAGACATAAGTGAGGTGTGAGCTGTTGAAGAGCAACACTTGCTTCAGGTAAGCATCACCAATAATTTTCTCCCTGCCTGCCTGGTCCACCAAGTTAATAATAACCTGTGAGAGTGAGGAAAAACAAATTCAGTTTAATCAGATGTTAAAAACTCAATGTGGTTTTTAATCATTTTATGTGGTATACTGTTTTCGACACATTTTATAGCCATAGTTAGAAATTTATCTCCTCAAGCATCAGCTTTTTTCCATGAAATTAGACTTTCACTTGTTACATTTAGGTTTATGAGAATCATTTACATCAATAGCATTAATAGCTATTTTATGCATTATATATTTGCAATAACCAATTCGAATATGTAATAAAAGCCAGGTCCTTTATCATAGCAAATACATTTTTAGAATAATTTTTTTTTTAAAGATTTTATTTATTCATAAGAGACAGAGAGAGAGAGAGGGAGGGAGAAGCAGGCTCCCGCTGAGCAGGGAGCCCAATGCGGGACTCGATCCCAGGACACTGGGATCATGACCTGAGCTGAAGGCAGACGCTTAACCATCTGAGCCACCCAGGAGCCCCTATTTAGAATAATTTTTAAAGAAATATACAAGACCTACATACGGACACTATAAAACTTTGCTGAAATACAAAAAAGAAAATCTGAGTAAATGGAAACACACCATGGTGCCAGATAGCAAGATTCAATATTGTAAAGATGTCAAGTCTCTCCAGATTAATTTAAATACCCAACAATCCCAATTGAAATTTGATCAGATCTTCCTATGGATGTGACAAGTTAATTCTAAAGTTCATCTGGAAGGATAAATATGCAGAAAAAGTTCTGAAAACTAATAATAAAGGAGTACTTGGCCCATTGGAGAGCAAAACATACTTTAAGTCTATAGCAGTTAAGATGGTAGTACTTGTGTAGAAACAGATGAATGAGGACACAGAACAGGACAGCCATCCAAGAGACAGACCCATGTACATTGAGGAATATAAAATATGGTAACAATATTATTCTGGGATAAGTACAGAATATTCAAAAATGGTACTGGAGGGGCACCTGAGTGGCTCAGTCGTTAAGCGTCTGCCTTCGGCTCAGGTCATGATCCCAGGGTGCTGGGATCGAGCCCCGCATTGGGCTCCCTGCTCAGCGGGGAGCCTGCTTCTCCTTCTCCCTCTGTCTACCGCTCTGCCTACTTGTGCTCTCTGTCAAATAAACAAAATCTTTAAAAAAAAAAAAAATGGTACTGGAATAACTGTCTGTCTATATAGTTGGGAAAAACTTATTTTAGCTCCCTACATCTCATTATACACAAATTATAGATCCATTAATGACCTATTTTTTAAGTTATAAAAAAAAATAGAAGAATATTTGGGGTGATGTTTCCATAATTGTAGGATGGGACATGACTTTCTAAACATAAGATAAAAACCAGAGGGCATAAAGAAAAGGATGGACAAAGGAGACAATATGAAAATTTAAAACCTCTGTAACAGATGACAATACAAATAAGCAAAGGTAAAACAACAAAACAAAAAGAAACAAAGAACAACCTGGGGGAATATACCTGTAACATAAAACCAATAATATATAAGAGTGCTATAAATTTAGTAAGAAAAAAAGAATAAAGGATACAGAGGAAATTCACAGGAGAAAATATACAGAGCCAATAAACATGAGGCTACAACTTTGTTAATAATCAGAGAGAGAGACAAACCAAAAAAGAGACTCTTAACTATGGAGAACAAACTGACGGTTACTGGAAGGGAGGTGGGCGGAGGATGGGAGAAATAGGTGATGGGGATTAAGGAGTGTACTTGTTGTGATGAGCACCGGTGTTGTATGGAAGTACCGAATCACTACTTTGTACACCTGAAACATTACACCGTATGTTAACTGAAATTTAAATAAAACCTTTAAAAAAAAAAAAAATACAAACTTATAACAGAAAACCAGTTTTCATCTATACAGAGACAAAAATTGAATCCTAAATAGAGTCAGCATTGGTGAATATATGGGGAAATGAGCACTGACTCCCACTGTGACTGAGAGTATAAATTCGTGTGATCTTTTATACTGAGAGTATAAACTGTTGGGAACAAGAGTGCTAGGTATCAAGCTTAAAGGCATACTGTTTGATCGAGCCATTCTACTTCTAGAAATGTATTCTATAAAGCACACAGTGTCCCAAAATATATGAACGTTGCTTTCTGGAAAATTTTTACAACAGCAAAAACTATATCCGGAGGGTCCATCAGTAGAGAACGGGAGAAAAAACAGCCACGAAATACTAAGTGAGAACAGCTGCAGGACAGTCTACATGGCATAGCCCTCTACGGGCTTAATTTTACAAATGTGTATATATGCACGTGTCAAGATGGTTCTTGCTGCAAATGACAAATCACTGACTCAGATCTTAGAACAGTAAGTCTGGGGGTTGCATGGTTCCAGAATTGCTTAATTCAGTGCTACCAATACGAAATCTTTCCGTCTTTTCCGCCGTCTTCAGCTTATGGGTCAGTCCTCAGGCTGGTTCGTTCACGGTTTCACCACGGCCACAGCAGTACGTCAAGTCCAGACACAAGCACCACGGAAGGGCTGGTGGTTCCTGTATCTCTTTTTATTAGAGCAGGAAATTGTTCCCAGAAGCTTCCCAGCAGGCTTCCCTCACATCACACCGCATGGCCAAACTGCCAATGAACACACACAGGCCAGTGCCTGAACCAATCACTGGTGACAGAAGAGTGGTGCCACCCTGAGCCAGACCGACCTGCGGGTCCAGCTCTGAGAGAGCAAGTACCCGGGGAGGCAGGTGGGTAAGGGAACGTTACTGGGGTACGGCCAGAAAGGAGGAGGGGTCTGCTCAGTGCATACACAGACACAACTGATATGTACAAACACGTTTTGAAAGTCAACACAGAGCAGGGAATGAGGGTGCTGAGGTTATTCTTCTTCTTCCTTTACACATCTCAGTATTGTTACAATTCTTACAATGATTATGGGTTACTTTTTTTTTAAAGTTTTTATTTTTTAGTAATCTCCACACCCAACATGGGACTCGAACCCATGACCCTGAGATCAAGCATCGCGGGGCTCCTCCGACTGAGCCCGTCAGGTGCCCCTATGTGTTACATCTAAATTGCGGTTTATTTACTGTAATGCTAGTTAGAATTACACACAGTGCTGATACAGGAACTTATTCACATTGTAAAAAAGTTCAAATGTAGATAAAGGTCAAATCCTTCACTGCAACCCAGACCCACAGCCTTCCCTGGAGGTAATAATGGGTTAGCAGCATGGTGTGCACCCTTTCAGCCCATATAAGGGTATGCTGATATACATGTGCACGCCATATATGTGTGAGAGCATATACTTGGAAAAGAATTACATGTATATATGGGGCGCCTGGGTGGCTCAGTCGTTAAGCGTCTGCCTTCGGCTCAGGTCATGATCCCAGGGTCCTGGGATCCAGCCCTGCATCGGGCTCCCTGCTCAGCGGGAAGCCTGCTTCTCCCTCTCCCACTCCCCCTGCTTGTGTTCCCTCTCTCACTGTGTCTCTGTCAAATAAGTAAATAAAATCTTAAAAAAAAAAAAAAATTACATGTATATAAATAACACGGTTTTGTTTTGTGGGTTTTAAATGGCAACACACCATATGCTGTTAGAGTTTTTTCTCACTCTACTGTGTGATTTTAAGATCTTTCCATGCTAGTACACACAGATCTACCTCGTTTCTAAGCAATTGTATCCAACATTTTAAATATGCCACGCTTTATCCGCTGACCTCCCGATGAACAGTCAGGTTACTGTGATGCTGCAATCAGTGTTCTTGTACAGGACTCCCGCAGTGGACACGTGTTTCTCTCAGGTGGCCTTAAAAATTTTTTGTATTAGAATTCCAGTTGTTCCACTTCCTTAACAAACCTTGGCATATACTATCTTTTTATTTTAGTCATTCTGGTGTGTCAGTGGTTTTAGTTTGCATTTCCCTGATGGTTGATGAAATGTAACACCTTTCTTATGTTTATTGGCCTGTTAAATATACCTTTTCATGAATTCTGCTCAAGTCTTTTGTCCAGTTTTCTTTTAGGCCATACATCTTTTTTTTGGGGGGGTGGTTTATAAGAGTTGGGTTTTTTAAACTAACTCCAGATATGAGTCTTTTGTCCTAGATATATATTAAAAAAATCTGAAATATCTTCTCCAACTTTGTGAACTGCTTTTCCACTCTCTTATTGGTGCCTTTTAATAAACAGAATTACTTTCTTTTTTATTTTTTTAAAAAATTTATTTGAGAGAGAGAGAGTGTGCACGCCAGCAGTGCAAGTGGGGAGAGGGAGGAGAGAAACAGAGCCTGACGTGGGGCTCCATCTCACCACCCTGAGATCACGACCTGAGCCGAAATCAAGAGTTGGAGGTTCAACTGACTGAGCCACCCAAATGCCCCTTTTGTTTATTTTTTAAATTATTTAATGTAAGTAATCTCTAAACCCAACATGGAGCTTGAACTCATAACCCTGAGATCAAGAGTCACATGCTCTCTGGACTGGGCCAGCCAGGTGTCCCCAGAAGTTCTTTATTTTAATCAAGTCTAATTTATTAATTTTTTTCATTATGGTTGGTGATTTAAGCCCTATCTAATATTAATACAGTTTCAATAAATAAATGATAAAATTTCAATAAAAGTTAAAAATTTAGTAAAGTCAAATGTATCAATACTTTTATTATGGTTAGTGCTTTTTATTTTTTTATGTTTTTTAATTTTTATTTTATTTATTTTTAACATTTAATTGCATATGTTAGTTTCTATGGTATCAGCAGCAAAACTGATCAAACTTGGTCAAGTTTGATCAATTATACAAACATACAAAGATTTCTCAAGTAAGAGTGGCGTGGTCTCCCTGAAAGCAAGTGGGTAGGCATTACTTTAATTAGGCCTTCATATTCTAGAGTCTGACCCTAGAAATCATAGATGAATTTCAAATTGAGAGCTCATAGATGATTGGGTTAGCTAACTCAAAAAGAGACTGAGGTATTGGTTGGCACTTTTTAAGTCCTGATTAAGACCCGAGGTCAAAAAGATGTTCTGGGGCACCAAAGAGAGGCTGGGCTAAGGCCTTGGGCTTTTAAAAAGGGAGAAAAAAAAAAAAAAGACCTTCTATATTTTCCTTTAAAAGGTTTATGGTTTAACTTTTCACATTCAGATCCACATCCACCTGGAAATGATTTCTATATATAATATGTAGTATAGATATCAAAAAGCAAAACTACTGGACTAATAGTCTAAGCATATTTTCTTTTGATTGATAATACCATTTATAACAGCTGTACCAACTTGTTTCACTAGCAATGTGTGAGAGTTCTCATTTCCCCAATTACCTGCCTTTATCTCTTATTATCAAACTTTATACTTTTTTTCAATCTGAGGATTTACTTTTTATTTTCCTGCTCAGCCTTTCTTTACAAGGATTGCACAAAACTTATAGATTACTTTTGGAAGAACTGACATCTATTCAGTATAAGTCCTTCCTTCCGGGAACATGGTATTTTCTCTCCATTTATTCAGGTTTTCTTTTGTGTTCTTAGTGATTCTTTCTCCCACTTCCCGCCTCCATACACATGCTACCTTTTTTGTATGTTTATTAGGTTATTTTGTTGTTGTTGCTGTTAGAAAAATGCATCCTATAACATTACACATTCAGACTGGTCATTGCTCGTGGGTAAGACTTACTGATTATTCTATATGAATCTCATACCTGAAATCTGGTCATCTTATTGAACTTGGAATTTTACTTAAGAGTTTTCACTTGATTTTAGTCTATATGATCACATTCCTCATATGAATACATAAGAAAGATGGGCAGAGAAAAAAAGATATTGAGAGATACATATCAAATTGTTATCTTCAGAAGGCAGAACTATAGGTGGTTCATTCTATTCATTTCCTCTCTAGATACTTCTTGGCCTGTAATAACCAACTGATAGACTGATATCTAAAAACAGTCTAAAGTAGCTGATTCAGTGATAATTCATCTTTAAGAATATTGAAAATACTCTTAGCTTATGTATTCTTCAACTTCATGACAAGATGCCATTTTGCTTCACTACGAATAGTACATTGTTATTTTCATGAAATTTAAAGAAACAGATACATAACCATAGCTGAATATGAAGGAACATTTTATTACTACAGATCAAAGCCCACCTGTTTTTTGTAAATTTTCAGTTGTTCTTCGAAATGGGCACAGAAATACGCAACAGTGTCCTTTTCACCTACAAAGAAGTGATAAAAATCTATTTTTCTTTCTAACATTTGAGGCAGAAATTAGTGTCTATTCCATCTTTACTTTAACGTTTCAATAATTTATTGACAACCAAATGTAACTAAGATGGTCCAAAACCAGTATTTTAAAATAAAATGCAAAGCCAAACATCTCGGATTCCTTTTCCCCTAATCGGACTGAACTGAACTACATTGGAAGCGCACACTAGGAAACCAGGACCTTTACTGTTCATGCATCCAGCCTATTGTTAGAAAGGGTTCCAGGCAGTTTATAATAAGAGACTAAAACCCTTCTACAAATATGAATGTTAAAAAATGAAGGTTTACTGGATTTTCACAAATATATATTAAGTTTTGAGAGAAAAATATTCTGTAAACAATTTTTAAAATCAACCTCACTGAGTAATCTGATTAGACTGACATGACTTTGCTATTCCTAGGCTACAGTTAAAATACTGGAAGAAATTAAATCCTCAATATTTAAAACAACAACAAACCTTTCACAGTGAGACATCTGAGTAAAGGCATCTTACCTATTTTTTGTAGATGCCATCTTTAGATATTTCCTACTTTTATTAATATTGACTACATTCACCCTTTTCCAAAAGTAAGCATTTAAGAAAGTATTCTCCAAGGAAACAACGGTTTAAAATCTGTGAAATAAGCTATGTTTTACTCTATTGTTAGGGAGTTTTTTATTGTTAAATAACTTACTTAGATTGTCAACAATCATCATTCCTCTTGCAAACACTCTATCACCACTAAATTTCACCATGGGTTATTGTTTTAAATGAAGTATCTAGCCCAGCAAATCCAAACCTATAAATATTTAAAAAAATATTCTCTCCGAAATCCTCATTTGCAAACCGAGTAACTGACAAGCTTACTTTTGTCCAGCCGGGGTCGTGGATTGTATCGATACCCGACCTGGCTCCAGAAGACAGGCACAGAGCCTCGTGTTTGAATAAATGACAAAGTATGATTATGAACATGAATTAACTGCTCAGTTTCCACATAATTTGCAACATTCCCATTTTTATCCACTCCTCTCCGTTTATAACGCATTCCTAAAAGACAATTAAAACAGAAAACAACAACATGAAAAAAAATGATTTAGTCTGATCAGATATGCTTCTTAACCAAGCACGTCTTTCAGGATAGCTTGAGGGATCTAATGTGCAACTGCCAGGCAGAACAGTAACAAGTTCCCCAAAACTCATAACTATATGCATCATTGTTTTTTAAAAGTTGAAGGGAAGATACTTTCTGTGAACTGAAAGGGAAGGGTGTTCCCAAGGGTGCTAGCACTCAGGAAGGATTTATTACCGTAATACAGGCTGTCAGTGGGAACAATGGTATTTAGAAGCATATCCCAAGTGACTCTCTTTTCTTCTCCATATATATACCTCCTTTTCTTTCTGCTTTTGTTAACTCTCCCCCATTCACCTCCCTCCAGAAATTGGTCCCCAATTACATCACACTATTTAGAGTCACTGAGCACTTTGAAGCCAATTATGTTTCCAAATCCATTATTGTCATTAGCATCTCAACACATCTGCAGCTTTACCATTCTCATCTGAATTTAACTTGCACATGATTTCAGCCCTTTACTCACCTGCTCTGTGCCTACTTCGGCGTGAAATGAGAGCCACTAGAAATCGTGGGTGAATGTCATCTACACATGTGGACTCCTGAGGGGGGGTCTCTGGGCTGCTCTTCTCATCATCAGATGATTCATTATAATTAACCACAAGTTCTTCAATCTGCACAAAACCTTGGATAATGGGGATAATCCAAAAGTCCACGTCTGGTGTCTGAAAACAATATGAGCATCATGTTGTTTCTCTTCTGTAGAGCACTGCTGCTTGCTTAAACCCAAATAGAAGCTAGCATGTATTTGTGAGTTTACGAGAAGCAGAAACCTTCTATTTTTTAACCATGTTTCTTGCTTATTGGAGGACAGCAGGAAGGAGGGAGGGAGGAGGACAAAGGGGAGAGCCTTTCCTTTTCTCTATGGTGATCAATTAAAAAAGAGCCGCCTGAGTGGTGCCTGGCTGACTTGGTTGATAGAGCACATGACTCTTGATCTCGGGGTCATGAGTTCAAGGCCCACGTTGGGTGCAGAGATTTCTCTAAAAAAAAAAAAAAAAAAGCTGCCTGAGAGGGCCCACAACATAGACACCACACTGCCTGGGTAACAAATTCAAGCTCCACCACTTACTAACTGACTCAGGTAAATCACTTAACTTCACCATACCTCAACATCCTGCTTTGAGAAATAGGAGAAACTATTACCTCATTAGGCTGTGTGAATGAGTAAAATGTAAAAAGGGTTTGGTTTAGCTCCTCCCTTATCATAAGCATTTAACAAATGTAGCTATTGTGATTATTCCCGTTGGCACAGGAAAAACAGAAACAAAAAAACAACGTATAGGTTGATTTTTTTTAACTCCCCATTGCATCAAGGCTTTAATAAAATACAACCAGGGCGCCTGGGTGGCTCAGTTGGTTAAGCAACTGCCTTCGGCTCAGGTCACAATCCTGGAGTCCTGGGATCGAGTCCCGCATCGGGCTCCCTGCTCAGTGGGGAGTCTGCTTCTCCCTCTGACCCTCCCCCCTCTCATGCTCTCTCTATCTCATTCTCTCTCTCAAATAAATAAATAAAATCTTTAAAAAAAAAAAATACAACCAACTCTGATTACCTTATTATGAGCACAGAAGACTGACTCTATTTTCTAGTTTAGGAAAAAAAAAACTTGCCTTGCCAAGCTAAAATCCACATAGTAAATGAACCAAAACAAAAAAACCCTTTCCATAAGTATCTTATTTTACAAAGTCACCCAACATAATTAGGAGAGTGTTAATTACACTTAGACACGTCCCCTTCTGTGCCTTTTAGGCTAAGAGTACTCCAATTTCCCAGCTGATTGTCTGCAGGAACAGTAAAGGGTAAGAAGTACTCCAGGCCGTTGTTCTCTCTCTTTCTCTCCCATCTCCACAAGTGTATCCAGCCTTAACCTTGGCATGACCTTCAAACCCACCTCACCGTCCAGAGCCACATAAGCCAGGACCTGTCTCATGGTTTTGTTTTGTTTTATGGAGCATGCAGATAGGATCTTAGGAAGGTGGTTAGAATTGAAAATTGTGAAGTGAAGGGTCTATTTGCATTCATTATTCTTACCACCATCCGCATTATTTGTATTTTTGTTCTAGCAATCATGCAAAACCCTTGACAGGAAAAGAGAAATGCACACCGCCAAATGCCGCCTCTCCCGCAAGTCATCAGTTTTAATGGTAATTCCAAGTGTCTGACAAAAACTCTGCCAAACATATTAGAACTCAGTATGTCAGCAAAGAGCAAAAATTCCCATTATAGTCACCTTTATTTTTCTCCCCGTCACTGAATTTCAGTGGTCATAGTTTGATCAGCCTCATAAAAAGGCGAGCACATTTTCAAGCCTCATTCTCAATAGAGGCATGATAGATACCTAGTGGTAGACAATGCTAAAGTCAAAATCATTTATACTAACGACCGCCAAGGGGGAGAGAGAGAAAGGAGAAAAAAAGGTTTGAGATTTTTGAAAAGTTAATGAAAAGATGTTACCCATTCAGCTATTTGCCCACTTTGTGTCCAAAACTAACTGGCACACAGCAAGCCTTCCATACATATTCGTGGACTGAGTGAATGAACTGTCCTCGGACGGTCGTAACTCTTTGACATACGTGACAGAGTAAAGGAACAACGTAATCATTACACTGGAAGGAACCTCATGCAATAATCTCACCATATTCCCTGTCTTCCCTGGTTCAAGTACTAGAATGTCCTTCGAGATTCCCAGATGAGACAGGAAAGTTAAATGACTGGTATCATTAAAGGAAAATTGGGCTTCAACATTTCGAATGAGTACAAACAAAACCTGTCTTTCATAGGAACTCCATGGACATTAGTTCTGCAGCCTGAAATTACTTCTATCCTATGGGAACCTGCTAAAAAGCTAGGCCTGTGGCTAGGCAGTGGAGTTGTGAATTGCCTTAAATAATGCCTTGGCTTTCCTAACTAAACGATTCCCATTCTAGAGGGGAAAACATTTTAGTGAGATTTTTGAATTAAAAAAACAAAAAACAAACCAAAAAAACCGCTTTTTAAAGTAGGCTGCACACCCAATGTGGGGCTCGATCTCCCAACCCTGAGATCTAGAGTCACATGCTCTACCAACTGAGGCACCCCATTTTAGTGAGATTTTTAATTCATTTTAATACAATTTTAAAATATTTGCTTAACAACTGTAACTCCTGAGGATATTTTAGAAACAATTACTCACACCAATCTCAGTAAGATCTTGTATCATATATTTATTCCAAAAAAATCGGTCATCAACCTGGAAAAGGCAGAGAATGAACAGTTCAGAAACATGTTGTCTGAGTTTTCCTATAGAAGCCAAACGGGTCCATAAATCGTTCTGCTCTGAGCTATGAGAGAAGTACCTTCTGCCAGAGGGGACGGGGGTCCTTCTCCCCAGTGCTTTGCCTCTGCACCGAATTGGTCAGGTCATAGGTCAAACTATAGTAAAAGGACTCTGAGTCCATGAACATCTTCAGCAACTCCTCAAGTAATCTCCTCTCCAACTTCTCCTTTTCTTTACTTTCCTTAACCTATAAGAAATTAATCTACTATTACTGCAGGAATTCAATGTACAGCATCACGTGGATAATACCCAATTTCCTAGAACAGAAGTGAAAATAATCCCAAGGACCACGCACAGATAGTGCTTTCACAGGATGAGCAGTTTGAAAACAAGTTTACTGGGAAGAAAATTACCCTTCAATTTAAAACTAATCCAAGATGAATTCCAAGCACATATCAATTAAACTCTTACTTTCTTTTTATTAGGAGCAGACACATTGGATTTAATATGTGTAAAGGTCTTCAGTAGAAACTTTGAGTCATCGGGAGATGGTACAATCTTCTCTGGCTTGCTAATTCCAAAATGATGCTTCTTACAGAGCTAAATAATTAGGAAGAGAAAGAAAATTCATTGTTACTAATATCGGCTTGTTAGATGTTCAGGTATGCGTGCAGAAGGGGCTGCTACTGTTCATGCACTTTGGTCAAAAGAAAACCTCAAGTCTTATTAGTAAAATGACCAAGGAGACAGCTGATCATAGAAAGCACAGCTATGGTTTCAAGGATTAGAAAGCTACCGCAGAGGATAAGCAAAGAACACAGGACAGGATATCCTTAGGATTTAGGGGCGGGAAATTCAGGTTAGGGTCATAATTACAGTAAGTTCTTATCCAATACAACTGAAGAATAAAATCTCTGGTTAGGGTTTATTAATGCTCTGAAAATCGGCATCTAACATTAAAAATATTGCAAAATACACATTTGCTATGCTCCAGGGGCATGGCTTTACAGCTATCTGTGCTAAACATTCATTCATGCTAGTTAACTGAGTGTTTTGGTTGTGACAATGTCAAGAGTCTGCTCTACTGGGAATCTTAAAAGCTGGACATTTCAACCACTCTTTCTCCTCCTATCCTCACACACACTAATGGAATCAGCATGAAAACACACTTTGGGACCACAGATTAGTTAAATTTGAAGAAGCAGTAAGTAGAGGCTGCAGGAAATGTGCAGTCCAACTGACAAGGATGAGGAAGAGGATGGGAATGTGTTAAGACCTTGAAGGGCACAGAGGTTCTAAAGAAGGCTACCTGGTTAAAGTCAAGGGTTTTACATATAATTTCATGCGGCTCAACACACAAAGCAAATATTCTGAAAGGTACACAAAGATTCTATTAACCATATCCAGACTAATTCCATTTTTTCAACACACTGGTTGTATAACTACACTAAGTGGTAGACTCTCATTAAGAACAGTTACTAAATGCCTATTATAATTGGTGTCTTTCTTACTAAATCATTATTACTAGATGGTAAACAGGATAAAAAATCTTAATGAGAAGAACAAAAGCTAGTTCAAACTTTGATTATAAATTGAATAAAAAGGAGAAAGGCATTCCTGTTCTATCAAATTTGGAAGTGGACAATTCTGTCAATTATCCCTCAATAAAGCTGGGGAGAAACTGGAAGTAGAGACTGAAATTAGACTGTATTCAAACAGAATGGAATCTTACAGATCCTACAGCCTTTTCAAAATTATGGCCACCAAAACCTCTATTCACATGGGCTTTGCAACCTGATTACAACTTTATGCCATTCCTGCTCTACCAGTGAACACAAGGGGACTAAAGATGAAGTCACGCACAGTCGTGCTGCCAAAACTGAGCTAACGATTTCCCCAAAAGTAAGCAAAACTAACAACATCTCAAGCTGATAGGGAAGGCGAGAACTAAGCAAACGGACACTGCTCTAGCAGCTCTCTCCTCCCCGCCTTGCACGGGGCACCTCCCATCAGCAGAGAAACACAGTGATGTATCTTCACTTGACGCCTCTTCCTCTGCCAGCTAGTGTCCTATTCCTTCGTACGCCTCACTGCCCCCAACCCCTTACTACTGCTATCTTCACTGGGACCAATGGCCTCCCCTTTGCTAAGCCCAATGGTGGCCTCTTGGTCCTTATCTTAACCTCTCAGTAGCATCTGACACAGTTCGTTACTCCCTCATCCTGATACACCGTGCACTTGGCTTTCCCTGGCTCCCTTATCTCTTTTACTGGTTCCTTTCCAACCATTTGAGTTCTTAATGTCTTGGCCACCATGAGGTTCAGGTCTTGACCCTCTTCTCTAACTACATTCACTCCCTCAGTGATTTCACCCAATCTCATGGATTCAGGTATCTTCTATATGCTAACTTCTCCTTCCCAAATGGATATTTCCAACCCAGCTCTCTCCCAAAATTCTAGATTCACAAATCCCAACATTTCTATTTGAATTTCCACCAGGCATCTCAAACTCAACACGTCCAAAACCAGACGCTCATCTTCCCTCCACGGCCTTCACCTCCTACCACTTTCCTCCCCTTGCTTACTCCACTGCATCCACACTGGCCTCCTTGCTGCTCCTCAACACATCAACAACGCTTCCACCTCGGGGACTTGGTCCTAGCTGTCCTCTCTGCCCACACACCCTCTCCCCAGACCTCCTACCACAATCTCCACCCTGGGCACTCCCCCCACCACCCTTACTCTGCCCGACTTTTATTTCCCATCACATATATTACTTCCCAACATACTACATAATTATTATGCTGATGTTTATTGTCTGTCCTCCCCCCATTATAATGGAAGCTCTATAAGGGCAGACATGTTTGTTTTGTTGATTCCTGTATCTCTAGTGCCTTAGTAGTACCTGGAATAGGAGGTCTCAAGAAATATTTGTTAAATGAATTAATAATCTCTGATGCTAAAATACAAATGGTAACCTCCAGATTCATACGCAAGGCATGCATATAAGTAGTCCTGCAAAAAAGTCACTCCCCATCTTCCATGAATATATCTTACACCCCCATCTTCATTGGGGCAGAATCACTGGGGAAGTAGAGAAGCAGTTTTGTTTTTGTTTTTTTAAGATTTTATTTATTTATTTGAGAGAGAGATAGTGAGAGAGCGTGAGCAGGGGGGAAAGGGAGAAGCAGGCTCCCCGCTGAGCAGGGGCTGATGATGAGCTGACCCTGGGATCATGACCTGAATCGAAGGCAGACAGTTAACCAACTGAGCCACCCAGGTGCCCCAAGAAGCAGTTTTAAAAACAGGCTCTCCCATTAGTCCCCTGCCCCTGTTTGCAACACTGAGCAACTGATGGTTGGCAATTTTTATATAGAATGTTAGTAATTATCTATTCATATTAATAACACTCTTAAAGAAATTGAAAACATGCCCAAACCTAGTTATAGACTGTTGCAATTTTAATTTCTTAAACAGGATATTATGCATTTGTCAGACATAGTTATTCCTTAAGAGTATTCAAGCCAGCAAAATTTCCCCCAGGAATGTTTCAAAGCCGATGCTCAAGACCTAGCTATTCTAAATTAACCTTGTAGCAGCATATCCACACCCTGTCTGCACCCAGGCATTCCTCACTCTCAGAAGGAGGGGAGTCCCTTTTTCTCTGCAAGGCTAGTTTCCTGCTGTGTCCCCTCTAGGACCAGGACCTTCCCTTCATTCATTCCTCTCTCCTCTGTTCCTACCATCTTTTAACACTGTTCGAGTTTACAAGAACGTGTATTTTTTTAATCCATTCCTCAACCCTAGAATCTCCTATGAGTTAGCAGGTTACAAACGGTGTCACAGTCATTTGTGAGAACATGGTCTGGTTGGGGTAGGTCAAAGAGTGAAAGCCCAATGGGACCACTCAGGCAGAGTAAAACAAGGACCTCCTCAACTCCAAAGACGATAAACCTTATCTCTAAGAACAGGACACTAACCAATCACTCCTGTGGTCTCTTCCTCTGGTCCCCACAGCTCTGGGCTCTTCCCCCACCTCTGACTGCTCCTTCTCAGTCTTTGTTGGCCTCTCTTTCTGTCTCTAAAAACAGTGGTTTCCCCAATGTTCTGCCCTTAGCTCTCTTCCCCTTCTTCATGCAGTCTAGAAAACACTGTCCTCTCTCCTCATTTTAACAACTACCGGTATGTTTTAACTACACATTTTTAATGCCACTCTTTTGCTCTGAGTTCATGATATAAAAATAAAACATCTCCCAGCTACTTACACCCTAGTCCCTCAAATTCAGCTTTCCCAAAACTGATCAACATTTGTTTCCCAAATCTTGTTTTTCCTCTGGTTGCCCAATCTCACTGATGACACTATCTACTGGATCCCTTAAGCAAGAAACCAAGTGGTCATTTTCCATTATTCTCCCCTAGTATCTCTCCTATCAACCCCAACTACCTCATGCTGATTGCTGGTGTGTTCATTCATATCCTTATCTTTTGCCCAGATCAGTATTTCTCAAGGCAGGTGCTACTAGCTTAATAGACAGGAGAATTCTTTATGCATGATTATCCCACATAGAGCAGACAACCTAACAAGCTTCCTCTCGTGAGCTGGGGAGTCACACTCCAACACCAGACTTCCAGCACTGAGCATGGTTCCAGGCCCGCATCTCCCCTGTAGCCCTTTTAAGTTCCCTTTACTGTGCAAGGGCCAAACTTCCTGCTCCCACTCCCTGATTCTAGACCCAGAAACCAGGAAGCCTAGGGTGTCAGTTCAATCTACTGCCCATGTATGGTCCATGAAGATACTACTTATCTCTAGGCCTGGCAATGTTTTTTCTTTTTTTCCTTTTTCTTTCTTTTTTTTTTTTTAAAGATTTTATTTATTTATTTGACAGAGAGAGAGATAGCAAGAGCAGGAACACAAGCAGGGGGAGTGGGTGAGGGAGAAGCAGGCCTCCTGCCGAGCAGGGAGCCCGACGCGGGACTCGATCCCAGGACCCTGGGATCATGACCTGAGCCGAAGGCAGACGCTTAACAACTGAGCCACCCAGGCGCCCTCCTTTTTCTTTCTTTAAACAAACAAACAAAACAAACAAACAAAAATTATCCCCCTCCTGGGCTTGGAACACAGCCCAATACCAATATCCCTTAACTTCCTTATCCACAACCCCCAAATTTAAAAATCTCTGAAACCTGCAAGTTCATTTTTTAAGTTTGTTACAAATTCATTTAATGGCCAAATATGCTCCAAACAGATATGAGGCTATTGATAGTCATCCTTTATATCCCTTAGTATGAATAGTCTTATGATTCTTCAGGAAATATTAATGTGTTGTATTATGGGGTAATGCCCAGACTCACTGAGTATATATGGAATACAAGGAATAGCCTTTTGAAAACCCCTAAAATCCTGAATTCTAAGATAAATATGGCCTCCAATTTTTCAGATAAGGACTGTGATCTGTATAGCAGAGCCCAAACTCACAGTACCATCTTAATCTGGAAGTCTATTTCTGTGACTTAAAAGCAATTTTTCTAAATAGAGATTTAAATTTACTTTAAACAATTCAATAAATATTTTAGAATCTTCCACGTAGCTACCTTTAGAAAAGTATAGACCACTATCATTTTTTAAAGGGTTACATTTTTTTTAAAGCAGGTTACCATTTTTTTTTTAAGTTTTTATTATAATCACCCAGTGTTTGTCACAACAAGTACACTCCTTAATCCTAAAAGGGTTAAATTTAGTCCTACTAAAAAACAAGGATAGAGAAAATAACTTCTTGGGATCACATCCAGTCCAAAGATGCTTTGTTTAGACAGAGCTCTTGGGATTGCAACATACAGCATTGATAGTGGGATCACCTTCCCTTTTCCAGAGGCCCAGCCAGTTCTGTGCAGCATGTGCTTAGGCCCTTATCACAATTTTGATACACACGATCTCAAAAAGAAAACCACCACAAGTACCATGATGCTCCCCTAGTTTTTTTATTACTTTAGCAACTTACGTTTCACAACCAAGATTAAGGGATGTTGCTGCGGCTGTTTAAGGAAAGGGAAATAAATGATTTTACTTTAAAAGTTAGTATCTATGGATCTGGAGCTAAAATTTTATACAGATGTTTAAAGGGAAACCAAATATGGAAAATGATGCAGTTATCTATTAAGGCAATGAGATATAGCAAATAAAATATGCAGACATGGGACAGAGCCTATAAAACTTTAAAGGATGTTTTCTCAAAAGAAAGAACATCTATGTTCTCATCTCTTTGAACCCCATGGATTCTTCATACCCTTGTATAGATCATTTTTTAAAATGGCACACTGCTTTGAAAAACAGTCTGGCAGTTCCTCAAAAGGTTAAACATAGAGTTACCATACGACCCAGCAATTCCTTTCCTAGGTGGACGCCCTAGAGGGGGATGAAAACAAGTGTTCACCAAAAACTTGTGCACAAATGTTCATGGAATTATTTATCACAGCCAAAAAGTGAAAACAATCAAATATCCATCAACTGATGAATGGATAGATAAAATGCAATGGATCCACACAATGCGATGAAACAGTAAATTAAGTACGCTATATACGAATTAGCCAGCATGCACCTTGAAAACACTGTGCTAAATAAAACGAAGCCAGTCACAAAAGGCCACATATTATAGGATTCCATTTATAAGAAATGTTCAGAAGAGGCAAATTTAGAGAGAAAATAGATCAGAGCTTGCCTAGGACTGAAGGAGCTGGGGTTTGGAGAGAAAGGAGGAGTGACTGCCAATGAGCACAGGGTTTCTTCATGGAGAAGAAACTACGTGCATATGTTCTAAACCAATCGCAGTGAGGGTCACAAAACTGAATATACTGAAAGCCACTGAATTATATGCTGCAAATGGGTGAACTGTATGGCATGTGAATTTTTTTTTTTTTAATTGGCAAACAAGCCTTATACTTTTTTTTTTTTTTTTTAAAGATTTTATTTATTTGAGACAGAGAGAATGAGAGACAGAGAGCATGAGAGGGAGGAGGGTCAGAGGGAGAAGCAGA